TAATTGCTTTTGGATGTTACTTACCTTTTTTAGTGAAGGTCCATGTTTCCACTTTCATGAAATTGCTCTAGACTTACCTGTCTGCAAATGAGAGCAAAATTTGTTCATCTGCTTAGCCAAATTTCAGCACTACATAGGAGTAACGTTGTGAGAAGTAGAAAAACAACACTGTACAACTATATCTTCATCATCAATCAGTAAAATATTGTATGACTTCTTCTGAAAATGTATTTGGTGACAAACCATATATTATTTTTAGAACCTTTCATATAGTCTTAATTGCTTTAAATTACTGCCAAAGTTGTTTCTGCAAGTTAATGGATGAAATAGGTACATTGTACATCTCACTCTCCCAAACTGCCTCCTGCCCTCGTTTTATTCAGGGGACAATTTATAGCAAGTGTGTTGTCCTGGGGCTGGCCCATGACTGCTCTGCAGTCATAAGTTTTCTTTTTCTGTCCTTCACGCCCATGAGATACAACCACGTTCCAGCCCAGAGCCATGTGGCCGCGCTGACCCAGTGCTGAGCCCAAGCCCACAAGACCTGCTGAAAAATAAGGTATATGAGCTGATTCTGCAGTGTCACGGTGAGGTGACTTTTTGGGAAGAACCTATCTATTCGGCCACCAAGCGTGAATACCTGAACATACACGCTCATCTTTGCAGAAACAGGGATGGATAAATAATTCGAGGAGGTCTGGAAACATCCAAAGGCTCTTAGAAGCCATGGTTGTAGCTGTTTAACTTCTGTATGGACCTCACAGGAGTTCATACAGATTTCTGAACTGATCCTTCTTTCAGTAAAATAAATCAACAGCGAAATCCTCATTAACTTCCACAGCAACTGAACAGAATCACTACATGCAAAATTTGTCTTTTTTTTTTTTTTTTTTTTTTTTTTAAATAATGCAGTTAAAGTGTTATCAGCTCACACAGGCTTTCACGAACCTCTTGTTAATTGAGCTCTGGTACTGTCGCCTCTGGTTGCCAGTATTATGAAGTTCTGTTTGAAAAAAAGTTACTGGCTCTTACAGCTGTAAAGTAGAAAACCTGAATACTAACTGCCCAACCCTATAGACTTAAGAACTCCACATTTACCATTTTTTTAAATGCCATCATTCTAAAGCTAAGCTCATAAACGCTGAGTGCGTGGCGTTGCTGACACTGAGAGGGGAAAATTCAGATGACCGAGAAAATCCAGCTGTTCCTCTCCTGAATTTCCAGCAAGCGAGTGGCTCAGCTGTATGCCTCTCCCCTTCCCGAATGGAGCAGAGCAGAGCAGGCTCACAACTGCTGGAAAGCAGCATTCTGTCTTTGACATATAGGTCAATGTATAGATTTGAGGATCAGACAGAACTGAATGTTCCTTTTTTAAAAGAGATTTTAACATAAAACTCACTACAGCATATTAAGGGTGCAAACTGTGGTACAAACCTGTTCTTTGCCTCAGTGTAATTACCAGTTTTTTTTTTTTTTATGTAGAAGGCTCTTTTTTTCTGAATTTTGGACTTAGGTACAAATAACTACAAGCATATCTCAAAGCACATTTTAGTGCCTGATAGTGCTCATGAATCAGGTAGTTCTGCTTGTAATAATTTCTGTCAGTGGGTGTTCCTGTGCGTGAGAAGGTACGCAAAGCTGGAAGCTGAGATGAGCCATGATAAACATTAAAGGTCCGGAAGCAGATGGATAGCTGTGTGAATTGTCAGGGCTTCATTGATTGCAATGGCTCTATGCTAAACACTAATTCAGCTGCTGCTAAAAAAAAAAGCCATCAGCTGAGCATCTGGTCACTAAGAGTGGAGAATGCAGAATGAGGTATCGGTGTCACCTCCACACTCAGCACTCGCATTGACCCGCAGAATTGACTCCGCATGGTGCAAAAAGGTAAAATTCCCTGTTTATTCACGGTTTTTGAAATCTCCGCCATTAGCTGGAGTAGTGCATGTGGGTATGCACATGGGGAGAAAGATGCGTATATATACAAGAAGGCATTTTCCATGACAAACAAATACTTACATGGCTTTTACTGCTGTGATGGTAATTTTATCTTCAATTGAAAAAAAAAAAAACCAAAACAAACATGTCGAGATACTGTATGAAAATTACTTGTACAAATTTGTTGCACTTCTATGAGGTTTTTCATTCATCCCAATAGCAAGGGAAACTAAACTCAGAACAGGCTTTAATCCACAATTTACATACAATACTTACATTCCTTTTAGAAACTAAAGCTTATTACAGAAATTATAGTTTCCCATGTATATGAGTTACTGAGAATTATAATATCAACAAAAAGGAATGACGCCAGGTTGCACACAAAAATCTACACTTCCCAGGTGATTCTCAGCATTTTTTTCTAAACATTTTCCACCAGATAAAGTTCATTGCCTTGTTCTCGCCATTTCCCATTTCACAAAGTGAAGTTTGTACTGAATCTGTACGTAAGAAATCAATTATACCATAGCATTCACAGAAGGTAAGAGAAAAGGGACTTTGCACATGGCTGGTGGTGAACTCAGTGATTCTGCTGCGTAGCTCCCGTGAACGCCTTATCAAATGCTGCTAATTTCTAGTCTGCGTACAAAGGTATTGATGTGCCAGAATTAAATCAAATTAGAATGTTTAGCGTAAAAGCCCGTTTGCGTGTTTCAAATTGTTCATATTTATTTGGAGACCTCAGAAGGACATCTTAATCTTATAGTGTTATTATTTCAAATAGAAAAAGAGATTTTTAACGTTATTTGGAGAAAGTCCTTTAGCTTACAGACTGAAAAAAAAGCAGAACTGCTGCAACAGATATTTTGACAAGAAGTTTCAATGAAAAATAACAGAACCTCTGCAGGGAATTTCCCATTAATCTAATTTATTTGGGAGCACATTTTCACAATAATAATTAAATTACCTAATGTTCGCTTACATTAAAAAGCGATCATCTGTAACAGTTCATTACTAGAAAAAAAGGGGAAAAAAGGCCAATATTTTAAACTAACACCACAGGAAAAAACCAACAACTTACAAACATCAAAGGAACGCCATGATGTTTGACAGCTTCTTTTGAATTCAGCTGTTTCATCTCTTAGGGAAGTTGGCAACAGAAATTCCAGCATTTTCTGTGCAGTGGTGTCTTTAAAGCTGCAACGTGTTTATTTGTTAGACCTCTATTCATCTGGTTTTCAGGGCGCTTCAATAACCAAAATATCCAGTAACTAAAATCTTGTGACATAGGAATCCATGTTTAGTGCAGACATTGAAAACAACAGCTACATTTTCCTGGGGAGCATTATATTCAGGTGGTTCATCCATGCCTTGCAAGGCTTCAGTGGGTGGAGAATACCACGTATAACCAACTGAGATACCATTGAGCAAAATGCGTTTTTATCTGCTTTATTTCTCCTAGAAATGTCAGCACAGCACATTATATTGCCTGTAATTTTAATAGATAAACGAGACAATGATTCCATTGTTATTTTTTTCTCAAAATGGTAGAATACACTTTCTTAAAAAGGTCTGCAAACATATTTACAAAAGTGTGAAAGCAATAAATGCAGGCTTTTTATATTTTTACTGAACTTCCAAAGACTGACTGATATCCTAATTTTATTGGAAATCTGGTCCAAGGATGATACAAGAAATTAAACATCACACGCAGTTTTGCTTTCTTGTAGGCTACCATGGAAAACAAATAAAACAGATAAATATTTTAAAAAGAACAGACTTATATTCCATGAAGCATAATGAAGATATTCCAAAACCATTTCCTGTATTTTTATTTTGTTTCAGCTTTAAAACAGCTCTTGGTCTTTCTTAATGTTGTGTTAAAATGTGGGACACCATCTTACTTTTGGAAAGCCAGCTGCTGTAATTTGATGAGAAAGTAGCCACTAAAATATCATTCACAGTATCTGCATCACAGGAGTGGACTTGTTTTGTTCAAACAGGAGTGATAAAATTTGTGTTGTTGCCTTCATCTTTCACATTTTAAATACTGTTGGCTGACAGAAATAAAGTGTAGTGTCATGCTTGGTTTACCTAAATCATTTATTTTGTAACTAATAAAAGTAAACAAGTACCAGATACTGTATATATAGAGATATATAGATATATGGCCACAAATAAACTATAGTAGAAAGTTATTTTGGTTTTGATAAAGTTAAGAAAAGCACATAAAATCATATTTCATGAATATCTTGTTTTATGGCCATCAATATTTTTGTATTTTTTCATTTTGTTTCATCAACATAGCAAAATACAATCTTCCTATTAAACAATAATTATCAGATGGCAGACAATTCTTTTTATTGGTTTACATTGGCAGGTCACAGTCTAAAAGCACAACCACATCAGGCAGAAATTGCACACAGACCGCCCTGGATTTTGAAGACTATTTTTATGCTTCTACCGAAAGAGCTTAATTTAAAACTGGGGACTGTAACACACGCTAATTAAATATATAGATTTCTTTTTTTTTTTTTTTTAATAGCTAAATAAAATGACTGAAATTGCAGTACTTTATTTCGCTTTCAGCTGCAGTTTTAACGTTTGTGCTTGATGTTAGCGAACACGCTTTGAACTTCCTAGCAATCGTTTATGAAAGTTCAATCACCCAAATAAAACCCACGTGATTTTTTTCCTGTCACGGAACACTGCAGATTTATTTCAATTAGGCCTGTTCCTTGGCTTTTTTTTTTTTGGTGTCGATATTTGCATTTTTAACTTACTCCTGAAGACTAGGGGAGATTTGCGTGTGGCACTATGACATCACACAGTCACAATGTCAGTATTTCTGTAAGAAATGGTTGCAGGTGGGACTGGCCCATAAATATGCAGTTGTATTAGTTGTAGAAGGCATGTTCATGTCTTCAAAAACCAGACTGGTCTTAAGATATTACTCTTTATTTGAGACAGTTACCATTACTTCATTAAAAAATGACAAAACAGCAATAAACATTTTAGCTCTTTAATGAGCAAAGATCAGGTCTCTTAGCATTGGAATAGTATTCGTTATCCAGATTATCTTTATTTCACTCAGTGACCAGTAATATGGCCAAGAAGTACAAAGTAATTTTCCATCAAGTAGTATACAATTTTTGTGTGTAATAAGCTTTCATTCTTGAAAAAGAGTAACTGAAAAGAAATGTTTCTGTTACTGCAGTTAGTTTGTCAGAGAAAGTTCTTCGCATTATCTTACAAACTATCAAAATTGCTAGTAATTTGAAAAAATGTAAAAAAAAATCACATAACTTTAGTCTAATAGAAATATAGTACAGGTAAGAGAGAAAGTATTTATCAGGGATGTGCTCTTAAGTCCATCTCAATTATTTCCTTTATATAAATGTACATCTGATTACATATACAAACATTTTGAAAGGACTGTGGTATATAATTACTGGAAAGCAACAGGGGAATGAAAAATTTCTTGTGATTTTAGAACATTCATTTCAAATCACACAAACATATGTAGTATTCAAATTTTTAAATTTCCGTTTGTTGGCTCTCTCCCCATTCTTACATACCCTCTTTTTCTACGCTGTTGCCATCTGGTCTAAAGAATTCATTTGAATGGCAAAGCTAATGTATAGCAAAAAGGGAATTGACTTTATCTTAAAGCATTATAAGTAAACTTTGTAACATGCAACATGAGTTTGAACAATAAAACGAAAGGTGTAATCAGAGCGGTAATATTGGGGCGTTTTTATATTGCAAAATATCATTGCAATTAAATTTTTGGACACACTTTACCTTACCAATTTGAACTAAATATGTTGTAACTAAATCACAGCAAATTATAAATCCTTCATCAAAGGAGATTCCATTAAAGTTATAGTTATGTTAAAGTTAGAAATTATTTAGGTGGAAAGGAAAAAGAGCATTGATAATACAGATTTTTTGTCTGGGATTCATATCAGCGAGGGTTCACCACTGTGTACCTAGAATGCCATAAGAACCTTTAAGAACTGTTGCAATTCCTTCTGTTTCTGAAGCTACCGTGAAATATTTTACTGTACTTACTTTTGCCCCTTTAAAAAACTTCTTTAGGTTGTGCCAATTGATGGAGAAAGCTTCTATTAAAAACTCCAATGGGATGAGAAGAATTTTAATTACGGCTTAATCAGCAGCACAGCCACCAAGCATATAAATTATCATGCACATCGTGCTAAAAATATCCAGTTTCCTTTATTCCCACAACTTTTATACTGACAGCACTTATGTGATAATGTTGTACCTGCCAGGCTGTAAAAATTCCTTGACTGGCAGATTTCAGCAGGGGCCCCTTTCTAAGGCCTTAACAGCATTGGTGCTTTGTGTACTTATTCAAATATGTAAATATGGTCTACACAAGAAAACAGGTCCAAATAAAAATTGGTGAAAATTATCTGACATTCCATTAGTGTGTCCCTTGTGCATATTTATAGGTTTTTAAAATTTTCAGTCATAGTTCTTTCCTGTTTGTGTTGCACATGCCTAATTCCATTATGTAACTTAAATCTTCAAAAAATTAATACTTGAATGTGAATGAAAAAGTATCATTCAGGACAACTGCTTCAAGCAATTGCAAACAGTTGGGTTTTTTGTTTTCTCTTTTGTTTGTTTTGTTTGTTTGTTTCTTAAGTTCATTTGATATATGTACAATTCATTTTTTTCAAAACCCCAAAAGTTCTTGATATGTATATTCACATAATATTCCTCGATATTTAAATAGCAAGAGTCTTGTAGGTTGAAAGCCAAGTAATCTTCAGTAATATCACCTACTGTAATCCATCAAAAAATAAAGTTTGTTTCGTCTTGTCTGGCTATACCCTGGTTGTTGAGTGTGAATGGGGGTGGGGATGAGGATGGGGCAGAGTATTGTTCTGTCCTCCGGTAAATGTGTTGAATGTGTGTAGGGGCTGAATCCCTGGTATAGTGTTGGGGATCATTGTGATGGTGTTGGGTGTCATTAAGGGAATATCATCAGGAGACCTTCTCATAGCTAGCGTGTAGTCTGGGGGGCAGGCGGTCCTAAGAACCACCTCATGTGGATGGATGGACTCACATTCATGATCCAAGTCAGTGTGCTTCATTTGGAGGGACATTATCTCCTCTTCTTGTGCATGGGTAAGATCATTGGTAGTAGTACGTTGTGGGCTACATCTCCTATGAACATCATGTCTCCGCTTGTCTTTTTTGTAGTACAATGCTGCAAAGGCCAAAATGTTCAGGAACAGCAAAGATGCACCAACTGCAATAGTAACGCTCAATTCTGTTGAATAGTCCCTCTGATCCACTGAAAACGGGCTTGGTTGTTGTTTGGGATCGTCTTGTTTGGCTGTAGGAAAGGCTGAAGTAACGGAAACAGAATTTTTCCTTGTTGGTCTGAAAGTATTATCAGTTGATGGCACTTTAGTTGTGGTAGAGGTATACTGTGAAATGTCGTTAAGATTGTGCAGATGAGGTACCAGTTCCAACCAAAGGTTCACTTTATTGGCCCTATAATGTTCTTTAACTCGTGGTTTTAATCCAATGTGAAGATACAGTTGGTCTTTCTGAGAATATCTGGTCCATGCTACTTCTTCAAAACGATTTGGTTTTGTATGGATGAATTTTGTATCTTGCGGCACTGGTTGATTTGGGTCACTAAAAAAAAAATAATCTCCAATGTTACAAAGTATTTCAAAAGGAATTATAAAATTAACATAATTAAGATTTTATACTTAATGTTTAAGTCTGCCATTGGACAGAGCAGAATGCTATTTCCTAAAATTAGAGGCCTTAATAATCTTGATTAGAAACAGCATTATGCAAACGAACCCTTCTTTTACACAGACTTCAGTGACTTCCCCAGCTCCCCAAAATGCTAGTATCTCTCACACTGAAACCTTTTGCTGCTGTGGACAGATTGCCAGCAATGTGGTAACGCGGGCAAATGCCTATGAGAGACTCGTGTCAGAGGACGTTAAGCTTTGCTTTTCGTTTTTAGTAAGAGAAAGCTCATAAAGCTCAGCATTTCAGTTCGTAGGCAGTATCTGTGGCCTTCCAGAGGTGCAAGACCATGGCAGGGCATAACTCAGTATAACACATAGTGACTTAGAGTCCAACGGCCGAAGGTAGAAAAGTGTTTTGAACTACCAGTGAAAGTCAGATTAATGAAAATGACAAAACTTTTCAAGTTTAAAGTTACACATTTTATGGTCAGAAATGTCAATTTAAAAAAAATACATTATTAAAATAAGCTGTATTATATTTGATGCAATATTTATGTAATTTTCTCGCATAGGATGAAAATATTATCAGTGCTGGGGTAAAGTCAGTTACTGATGCAACCATTTTTAACTATACACATATGTTAAATGCTTAGTTTTGCACCCATCTGGAGATCCCTTAATTATTTTTGTGTAGAAAGTATTTTTTTAATTTCTTCACGCAGAATGTTCACAAAGATATTTTTTCCCTCTTTTTGCTAGAATGTGTAAGTGAGCTGAGGGACATTACCATAAGCATAAACAACCAACCCAATTCTTAATCTCTTATTCATCCTACAAGTACAGAGGCATTCCCAAGGGAGCTAACCAAGGGAAAGCACTGCATCATTACATCCTGAGTTTGTATACAGGACTATTCACTATCTGGTACTCACCCAGTCTTTGCAAAGTTTGTCCAGTACGTCATCACTACCGCACTTAGCATGACATCATTCTTGGAGAAATTACAAGGAAATAATTCAGTAGGACCAATCATGGGGATTCCTAGTACGTAAGGAACCTCATCTCCATGGGCTGCATCTGCCCACGCAGGTACCTGATCTGTCTGGCAATGATGGTAGAAGGCATAGAAATATGTAGGCGATCCAAAATTTGAGTGAAGATCTGCTGTAGCCACTGCTGGTGCAACCCACTGGTGATCAGTAAACAAAGCCAGCAGTGTTTTCCTTCTGGTCTCAGGATTGTGTCGATCTGCCCAGTCCGTGTACATAAATTTAATCGTTTCCCTCAATATATCTTTGCCTTCAGGGTATCCGTATAAGTTATCAACAAAATTAGAAACTGCAAAGTCAAAATCACTAGCTGATATGCCATCTTCACTATCCACAATATTTTCAACAAATTTTAACCCTTCCCCTTGGTTAACTCCCAACATGATGTCATAATTGAGGAATTCTCCTTGTTCCATCAATATCTGAGGATCATCTGGTATCACGTCGCCATCAATTACTGGTCCAAAGGCTATATGGTATCTTGCTGGTTGAATGTCCTGGTCGACAAGTTCTCTATAAGGCTTCTTCTGTAGACATTCTACCAATTCTACAGTGTCTGACATGTTGCAACCGACTTTTGTAGCCAACATCCTGGCGTATTTTGCAGGCTGAAAACTCACTGCCCAGCTGGAGAGAGCTGTTCCGCTTTGAGCTATTGCTCTTTGAAAAAGTCCTGTGGGGAGAAATATTTAAACACTACTGAAGTGACCTTGAAACAAGCTACATACTTGAAAGATTCAAAGGAGTTCTTTGAAACAATAGAAAACTTTAACGGAAGAGATACTTGAATCTTAATAGTACTTAAATGCACAAGGTGGTGAGATCTGACTCTGTCATTGTACCTACAGGTAATGTATACAAAATAAATGCAATATGCGCAGAAATTGAAGCAAATGGTTCTACCTCAATGAAGGCCAGCTGAGGAACAGATTTTCAAAAGAAACTCAGGAAGAAAAAGAAGTGGCATTACCTTCTGTAGGATAACGCTATTAGCTTGAAAGAGATTCCTAAAGTTACAGCAATTTATAGGTTGGAGGAAAAGCCAACAAGTCTCTGAAATGGATTGAATTTCTGGATATTGTTCAAGTCATCAGCAGCATGCGTGCATACAACTATCTGTTAAATAAACCTAATATACTGCTTTTTTATGTTTTGTTTGGGGTTAAACTTGGTTTGAGAGGTGCAGTGCTTTTGAATTGTCTATCATAGCAAGAGTTTGTATTCGGGAGTAATAGATGCGAAGGTACTAGGCAGCTATTAAATTTATAAGTGTCTAAGAGTCAAGATCCCTTCTTGTAAGGAGTTTTTTTAATGAAGGTTTATAGCGATCACACTTACATAAAAGAAGGAAATTATATATTTTACACTATTTAGCTTTGTAATTCAGAGATTTAAACATATGTTCAGGTATTCATTTAGGGGGGAGAGAGAGCATGATCTGGCACTGCATATAAACTTGTAGCAAATCCCAAAGACTTCGGTGCAATTAATTTGAATTTATGCTGATTTAAGTAGCATTCTGGACCAGGAATTCTACTCATAGAAATAACAAAATATGTTTAAATTGACATTTTCTTCTCCCTTCTGTAAGCATTTTTGAGCATACCACAGATGAAAGCCTCATCCCCTTGTAGTCAATGAATCAATCCAATTTTTTTGCTATTGACTTTAATGCAAGCAAAACTCCATCCTTGTTCCAATACTTCTTGTGCTCCCTTTGTGTTGGGGCCTTGCCTTTTCCCACTCCCTTTAGGGAGGGCAGTTCAGGTCCTGAAAGAGGTTTTGAGTCTGAACCTTGCACAAAATAATGCTCATCTCTAATGTCGAAAACTTAGACTTTATTTGGGTAACTGTGACCTTTCTGGGTTTTTTGCATTTTCATGGAAGTGCGTCCAGTTCATTTCAGTAGCACAACTTTGGCACTAATTACTAGAAAATATTTTATACTGGACCCTACCTCCTATAGCTTGCTGTGGGTAATACAAAATGGTCTATAGAATCGTAAGTTATGCTGATTCAAGATACATGGGTCAAAATGTCATTTTACTTATGCTGATAGGCACCTGGAATAATTCCACTGACTTTGGTGGAGTTGCTTAGGGACTGGAAGTGGCATCTGGTCTCACTCGCTTAATCTTCCTGAGAATGTATCTTTGCTCCAATGCTTGATGAATAGCTGGATACTCCCACTAAAGGAACTGGAGTTAAGGTGCTCAGTTTACCTCAGAATTTTATTCCAATAATGCAAAAGATGGCTTTTACTTTGATGAGTAACGTATTTCTATTGATAAAAAACTTCCACAGCCTCTAAATCAAGCCAGAGACATACCTTTACAGCCTCTATTGCAGTACCAGACCCTGTACACTCAGAGGTTAGTTGGAATCAGTTGCTGGCAAGAAATGTTTTACAAGCTTCTGAGGAATTTTAAATTCATTCTAGAGTGTATTAGGTCCAAATCCAAAAGTCTTAAAATCACATAAGTGTAGGGACTAAAATATGTAAACTCAAGCCTCTCCTTAAATTTATGAGAAGTCATATCCAAGATATTATTTCCTTGCAACATATGAGTAAAAAATAAGAAAGAACTTGAGCTATAAAGCAGGTAAAAATATATTTGCATGTTTACAAGGTCAGATATTGAGCTAGCATAAATCAGCTCAAAGTCAGTGGAATTACCACAGAGGATCCAGGCATTGTAATAAATGTAACTAAATGACAAAACTGAATTTTCGCAAAGATATATTTCATGATACTTCATAATGTTTCTTTTTTGCATATTGTGTAAATCTATTTTTATTGCTTTATTAAATATCTCTGAACAAGGACAGAAAGTGTAAGCCACGTATTAAGAAAATGCTGATATAAACACTATGGCTTTCTAAGTGCTACATAAACATTAAATGTTGGATTAAGTAAAAGTGGTCAAGTCCTCTGGCCATAAAGTTATCTTAGGAAATAAAACTAAACATCCCTCCTTCTGCTGAAGAATGCTTACTGAAATATTCCTCCTCTCAAACCATTTGGTGAAAAATGAACAACAGTATGAAAAATTACATTCGTTCTGTCACATAATTCCTGGCAGAAATTGGTACCACACAGGATGGAGAACAACATTTTTATCTGATAATGTGTACAATTATTATAGCTTATGGGCTTCAGACTGATGGAAAGAAGATTTAAACGTTCAATGGACCATATCGCTTTGTGACTCCGATTCAAAGTCTCGCCAAAGTGAATAATAATAATTTGCATATATTCATCTACATTTTCAGAGCACTTTCTAAAGATGGGTGCTCTTCTGCCCACTTGCAGATGGGCAGCTATTAAGAGCACCATCTTGAAATAGGCTGAATGCATCCTCTCAACTACCAAGGGATCCTTTGAAAGGGAAATGAAGGAAGCAAAGAGAGCATCTGAATTTACAGCTTATGAAAGAGACTGGTTAATAATGTGAAACAAAAGTTTTTTTGAAACTGTTAAGATATTTGAAAATATTTGAAAACTTGAAATAACTTTTCTTATTTGAAGCTGACCAATTTTTATTTTAATACTTTTTTTAATGACAGGTCTAACCATCCCCAAATGAAACATAACAGACATGGGGGTGTGGCGCATTGTTCTGTTTAATCCAAATTTCAATAAAGCATGTTTTTGCTTTCTCATAAAAGAAATGCTCAAAAATTTACTTTTACAATTAGATTTTACATACACCTCCCTAAGCCCTCTGCGGTCCCCTCCCGAATCCTTTGGTCTGCTATGTTGGCAAATTACTGCATCAGTTTCCCCGAACAAATGCTGCTTCTGGCAGGATTCTGGCATGTGTTAGAATATGACAGGGTAAAATTTGCTGGTAAGAGGCAACACATGACTGTCCAGATACTGTAAATGTGGCATTTCACATTAATGTCACGTTACGTCAAGAAGACTAAGACTAAGTTCAAGTAAGAGTTAGGGGAGGCTAAACCAGGTCTCCTCATTCAACCGTAAGCTAAATCCTCTATGACAAAAGTTATTTTTGTGAGTTCTGATGAAAAAAGATGGTGCAGTGTGACCCTCATTACAGTGTAATGAGGTAATGCTTCCATCTTGTTCTTATAGGCCAGTTTATAAATATGTCCTATTTAACTGCAGGTAGTTATGGGAAAAAAGATTCCATTAAAAATCAAATTGTGGACATAGACTAAAATTTAAACCACAGTCTATTTTCTGCTAAACTTTTCTTGTAAAAGCTATATTTTTCTCTCATTTAACATAGTGTAAAGGCCTGATCTAAAGAATCCGTCACTTCTCTTGACCTCAGTGCACTCTGCATCATGACTTTGGGTAAATGCAGCTCTTTTAATGTCAGTGGATTATTTTTTTATGACTGGCCAATTAGTCCCCCATGGATACAGTGATATAAATTAGTGGAGGGTTGTATGCACAGGGCACAGTGTGGTGTCCCTGGTAAAACTAAACAATACAGATAAAAATGTGTGAAAACAGTGAGACAAAAGTAACGTGATCAACAAGCAATAGCCATGCAAATGAGAGAAACTGTGTGGAACCGTAGTGCAAAAATCATAGGAAAAAAAATTGGGTGCCTCAAACAGCATGTTTTTAATTTCCTGCTGTCTGCTTCAACTCGAGAGAAAAGGTGTTAGTTATGGAATAGGAAAAAACATATAGAAGAAAATCCATTTGCAACTTGGATGCTTTGACAATTTTGGATCATGCATGCAAAACATTCAACCATTCTTTTATTAGATGACAGCAAGGAAAGTTCATGCACTTTCAGACAAAAGATTTCTTAACTAGGTACTTGTTTCCTTCACACGAAATAATAGTTTTAAGCATTTCAGCTGTTAGCCTGAAAAGAGAGACTGTGTCATTTTCGTTTTCTTTAAATTCTGCTCCTCATGAGAAACTAAACATGCCTTTCATGACTGCCTGAATATGGACGACCTTATCTACTGTGAGCATGACTGACTGGTTTTCCAAAAAGGACACCCTTAAGTAGGAAAGAAAAGAGACAAAAATGATGCACCCAGAAAATGCTGTTCAGAAGTCTGCTATAAAGTGTTTCTACAAAGCTCCATAAGAAAAAGAAGAAAGTGACCCAAAATTCAAACATGCACAGAAGAGGTGAGGGAGAAGGCAGTTTGTACAGCCTTTAAAAAGTTTGCTTAATATTGAGCTGAACTCAGCAGTTCATAGGAACAAAGAGAATATACAGAGCATCACATAGTACTAATGGCGGTGGCATGCAGACACCAAAATTGTCAAAATTTGCAACCTGCATAATACCTTTGGTTGAATTGCTCCAACGGTTACCTTCAGAATAATGGGATAAAGTCAACAGATTGACGCATGAACCGCCTGCACCAGATCCAAAAACAGTTATTCTTAATGGGTCACCACCAAAGAACCCAATGTTTTCACTAGTCCATCGCAAAGCTTGAATAAGATCAAGGAGGCCATAGTTTCCTTTTGCTGCTTGGTCCCCAGTGCTCAAAAATCCTGTGAACATAAACGAAAAAAGAAAGGGTTAGCAAGTGCTCTTCTGAGTAATCCTGTTGCAATCTTCTAAGTAAGATTTCAAAAGTAGATGCTGTGCAACGACATAATTTTCCATATTCACTGGACAACAATTTGCAATTTTGCACTCTTCCTGAAACAAATTATTTGGTATCCACTCTTTTGGGCATGCTATATTAATGTAGGGAAGATGACGATACATCCCAGGCAAAATACTCGTCTAAGTCTTAACAGGTCACAAAGACACTGTTGATTGTACTACGTTTAAGAGTAAAGGTTTAGCAAACAGATGTGTTGCAGTCATTTTGTAAGTGATTTGGTCAACTGTGTATTGCACTGCTGTACTTAGACGCAGCCATGAACTTTGCGCATGCCTGACAGGCAATGGTTACGCTTCTCTGTAGACTGCGTTTGGTTATGTCCCGGCAACGCACTCTCCTTTCCTTTTTTCTCCCCCCAAAAATGCAGCTTATGTCACAGGACAAGCCGGGTTGAACAATGTGAGCAGCTCTCAACTCCCTGAGCTCTGTCCCATAGTCATTAACCTGAGTTAATTGAATCTACATTAAATGGATAAAGACAATTTAAGCTGTTTCCATGACCCCTTAACATCAAAAAGATAAGAGCTCAGGGGTAATCCAGAGAGCACAAGAATTGCTCCCTTTTATTCACACTGGAAGAAAAACGGCGGAAAGTGTCAGGTGCAGGAACGACTGTTTTACACTTTACCCCCAGCAGTACCCCCCTATTTAGTATTGCTGTTACTCTTGTCATTAGAGCCTACTGACTCTAAAAGGCCGGCACTAAAAACTTTGAAGCAAGTCTCTGTTGATAAAAGACATTGCTTTGCTTTTGGATCCCATTTGTTGACATTTGCAATTTTCTCAGCTTAATAAACAAATGTCTAAATAATACCAGCATTATGAAGTAGCCCAGCACCTCCATTTGCATATCAAACTGATTTAACGCTCACTAAATTGACAGTGTAACTGTTTTTCAGTGCATGCTTTGTAGAGAAATGCAACCATTACAACAATTATTTCCACATTAATTAGATATTAGTGGGTCTTCTAGTCTCGTCAAAGTTCCACTGATTTAACTCTCTTGAGTGCAGACAGCCTACTCAAAAGAAGTTTACAGCAGTTTTTCAGACAAATGGCTCTCAAAGGAGTCCTACTGTTTCATTATGACAATAAAAGCAGCTTTTGAGACATTTCTAAGAAGACACGTGTGCATATACATATATAAAGCAAGGATTTAACAAGAATACAGGTAGGTGCATGCATGTACCTGTATTCCTGTATATAATGAACATACCATTTGTTACTTTATTATTATTCTGATTTGACTTCAGATGGCAAGCTTACATTTGCTATTCTGTCATATGTGTAGACATTTATACTAACAGGCCTTCTTTGCTGTAAACTGCACTGGAAGCTAATTGGCCTCGCTGCCTCCGTAGTTGAGCTATGCTCCCATCAGGGCGAGCAGCTTTGTTTGTGTAGGTCAGTCCTGGGTTTTGTTACCATGGCGAGGGAACAGGAGAGTGGCATAAGGTGCCAGGCCAGCAATTCTCCCACTTCCAGACCTAATGTACCAAGTCTAATGGGCATGCTTCATTCACTGTAGCCATAGTAAATTGTTACTCTGTTACTAGACTTTAAAATAACGACTATTCTACAACTAAAACCTGCCACATTTACTACTTAACTGCATAAAAAAGCAAAGTAGCATCACTACCATAGAAAAAAATACCACCTTGATATTCAGGGAAAGCCCAGAAAGGAAGTCATAAATATAATTAATTCATTCTCATTTTATTATTACAGCTCAGTACTGAGTTGAGATGAGCATGATGTTATTTTACTCTGCTTCCCTCTCTTTCATTTTCTTCCATGTAGCCAGAGGGGCTGGCGTGCCTGCCTACGTGAAAGGATGGCCCCAGTAAAATCCTTCCTGCACAGCAGCTTTCATTCCTGTCTTCACGCTCCAGTAAAATGTTGTCCCCTGTAAACAGTTTTTAAGGACACAGAGAGATGATGTTTTTGAGTCTATGATAGCAAATCTAATGAAAGCTTCCTAACCAGTCTCGCTGCCTTTGTCAGCCTGCTTGGAGCTGAGGGTTGGTACCAGTGACTGTAACAAAATTAAAATGTAGGAATTTATGGGAACTACAGGATCCTGTGGCTGCACGTGCTGGGAAAGTCTTCCCCTTTCTTTGTGTACATATATGTCTGTAGAAAATCAGTGGCAAATCAGTTCATCGTATTAAGTGCGTAAGTGACTGCACTGATTTAAGGAGGAACGATTGACACTGGTGGTCCTTGAAACACAGGCAGCACTGAGATGAGAGCAGGTAGAGCAGTTACCAAAACTGTGCCCTAAACAAATCCTGCTTGGCTTTTTCCCCTTTCCCTGGCTTGCAGATTCCCTGAGCCTGGGCAGGATCCGCTCGCAGCACAGCTGCAGCTTCGGTTCGAAAAGATCCCGTCGATTTCTCAAAGTGATTCCAAGGCACTTATTAGGAAAAGAGATGGTAGGGTTATAGCTGACATACTGGGACCGCCCTGAAGGAAAGCAAAGGCTAACACTCAACCTTTCTGAAAAAGTTGTTTTCCATACTCTGCATAATATGCAGCAAAGTGGGAAGCAAGTAAGTCTTTGCCTGGAAAAGCAACAGATGAAAATTATAGGTAAAGGTTTAGGGCAATCCCCTGCTGTTACATGAGTTCATATCAAGCCCCGAAGCTTGATGGGGAAATAGGAAACCCTTGGGAAACTATAAATATACTAGTTCTAAAGAATCTTTGCGAGAAGGATCTTAAAAAGAGAGCAAAAGAGGAAATGTCTCCTGTTGCTAAAAGTAACATCAGGAACCTTACATTCAGTTCAGGAAATGTGCCAGAAGGGGGAGCTTTCAGTTTATTTAAAAAAAAAAAAAAAAGGCAAAAGGAAAAAAAAGGAAGTATTGGTAATATTCTCCTCATTCATCTATATTAGACAAATTATGACTTGTGTCCAGAGCAACAGCTCCGATGCAAAAGAAATATCTCACGCCTCCTCAGCAAGAATCACGTTGGCTGACTTCCACATCTACACAAGATGGATGATTATTGATGTTGACTTTCATGACATGAAACATTTCTATCTCATTTTTCAGAACCATAAGAAGCCTGTTAATATCGCCACCTGTTCAGGCCTTTTTTCTTGTATGCAGTAGTATCAGCAGGGCTTAGAAGCATTCAAAATGTCATGAAATCAGAGATAGGACTGATAAAACAGATGAGGTTTTTCTTCCCAGTTTTGTTGTTTTGTTTTGTTTTGTTTTTTCCCTAGTGAGGAGTGCCTCAATACAGATAAACTCATCTAACTAAACACCCATAGAGAGATGCTTTAACACACAGCATCGTACCCAGTCTGTAGGTCTGTGGGTACAAGTACTTACTCTTATTTATCACTTGGATAAAAAAGAGATTGCAATAATATCTTTTGTCTTTATCCCAAGAGGAGCTTTCAGAACGTAATTAATATAGATACCATACATTTCCATGCATTTCTGTGACACCATCATTATGCTAACTAGATATTAAGCTAGCAATTTTGAGTCAGAGAGGTGAACCTGCTCTTGGTGAAAAGGGCTTCTGTGTCTGACAGCTTGTCTGGTTTTTAAACTGTATCAGCTAGTCTATTAAAATATATTATCCCTTTCTGCAAATGCTGTCTTATTATTATCCTTGGATTGTCATCTCACCAAGAACGCTGCTATCATGTGCTACCACCTTTTGCTCTTGTAAAAAAAGTGAAGTAAATTATTCCTTATTTTAGTTATTCCAGGAAGACATTTGCAAAAAAACTTATTTTGGCATTATTCTCTGACAAGGTCAGATTGAGCTAATTTTGTTCCATAATTAAGTCCTTCTACTGGAAATATTCCAATCATCAGCTGAACAATTGCTATTTTATATTCTGAATGGAGAGGTTATCTCTTCTTTTATCTCTTCCAAAGGAGCAGACTCTAATAGAATTATGGAAGTGAGGATGTGGTCTTTTGTGAGTTTAAGAAAGAGATTTATTAAGCTCATTTGGACCATTTCTCTGTTACATGTCCGTTAGACAAATAGGCAGTGTGCGCCACGACCAGGCCCCGTATTTTGTGTTAAGATAAATTTTAATGGTTTATAGGCTTATCTGCCTGGGTAATGATTTCTGCTTGCCATTCAGATAAATCTTTTTCTAATATGATGCCAGCATTTTTGAAGAGTAAATAAAATAATAGAGTTGGGAAAGTTACAATGTTTTGTTGAAAACCTGAGAAGATTGAATTATTTTAAGCTCTGGCCTGATTTGAACAATCCAATTAATGCAGAGGGGAAGGACAAGACAGAATTTTTCCTAATGTAAGGGACTGCTACCACCCGCTGATGCAGTAAAAGACTAGGTGCGGGCTGGGGGATACGTAACAGAGAACCAAACCTTCCCTCTGATGAGTTCTGCCCATCTAAGTGTTTCATAACCCAGCGAGCGTCATGACTGGAGTAAAGTAAGGGGAAGAATGTCTTGCTGGACAAAAAAAATATCCACCTGTGAGAAAATACACAGTAACAAATGCTACTCTAAAAATAAAACAGAAGAGCTTATGAAAACTGGTCTGACATGCTTAGAGGGGTTTTTCAAAGAGTGGTGTTACTGAAAGCAGAAACACTTACGATTTTAATATTACCCACCTGTTTGGGCATGTGTTACAATAATTTAGCTACGTTTCCAGTGACAATTCCCTATGCAGTCAAATGTCATCTTTTATTTTGTTAAAAGCAAATGTTAAATGGTACAAGTGTAAATGCATCAATGCATAGTGGAAGAATACAGGGCATATTTTGAGGGAAGAATATATATTCCCTCTGGATTGCAAGTTTCTTGGCTACGACACCTTCTATTAATATTGAAGAGTAATTGCCATCTACAGAAAATTTCAGTTGCCCTTT